TTCAGGGCTTCCAAAAAGAGCTGCTTAAAAAGCAAGCTGAAGAATCGTTCTTTTCCAGTCCCACTTCGTGAAAAGCGCAACACTCCTCCGGTAAGAGCTTCTGTGAAACAAATAACGAATGAGGGAGTTCCACAAAGACAGAACTCGAAAAAGGCCCATAGAAGTGAAATGCTTTTCCAATGCGATTATCGGCGCGACAAGAATTTATTTGTTTTCCGTGATATGTCGGTTCTTCCTGTGTCTGGAGAAAGATTCCAGAAAAGTTAATTTTATTTCTATACCTGTGATGTATTTTGCGCTGGTGTTCGCAAGTTCACTGCTGGGGTTAGTATGACCGTTCCTGGAGCTGCTCCGGTTAATGCTAAAAATTTCAGAATTTATGAATATTTTTGTCTCAAAAGTGAATTTTTATTCCACAATGAATCTCAGAGGTAAAAAAGAGATTAAAAAAATTAAAAAAGATTAAAAATTAAACAAATTAAAAAAAAGAGGAAATTCTCTGTTTTTTGAAAAAATGAAGACACAACAAACACAACACAAATTTTCTTATTCAAAATAGAATTCACTCACATTGTGCTGGAACTTGCGTATATATCACGCCACTGTTAACACAACCATCTAAAAATTCTACTTTTAACCCTAGTATAAGAAATTTTTCAAAAAATTCACGGATAAAAAAATTTTGTAAAACATTTCGGCATCCTTCCACAAAACTCCAACCCAAGTACCTATCTTTTTTTGGTGTAAGGAATGGCAAAAAAGGGTTAGGTTCTGTCGAGATCCGACAAGGCACAAACACTGGCAGCTCCAAACATACCGAGATTATACTGTGAAGTGTTTACCGAGCTAAGCGTTGGGCGAAACGAATCACTTCCAGCCTGAACAGTGACTAATGGTGCTGTAAAGGTGAAGTAGTTAAACATGTAAAAAATGCAAATATACGCTATACAGTGCATAAAGAGTGTTTTTGTCAGATCAGAGTAAATAAATACTACCCAGTAGTGTATATGCTATTAAGACACAACATCGATTTTAAGAAAAAATTTTAGACAGAAACATAAAATTTTTATTTCCAGATGATATGTTATGATCGTAGCCGCGCGATACGATTGAACGGACAAACACCTGTCACACGATCTGCTTGTATAAGGCAGAAAGAACCAATGAGATCGGAATATTGCATCAGAGAAAAAAAAAGAGTCGTCAGTGGTGTGCTAAAGCGTCAAAAAAGTAGCAATCGCCAGGGAGAACACCACAGCAGCTGTAATTCCGCCAACAGTCGCCGTGTTTTGTGTCTATATCGGTATGGAAGTACTGAGGACTGTTAGGACTCCTATATCACTGTGTGTACAGAGTTTTTTTTTTTTTTTTTGGACTGAAATACAGTTTTGTTGATTTATCGGGTCTAACAGATAAGAAGGCACTTATCGCGTGGTCTATGTCTAGCAGTGTTAGGAACGAACTGGTAATACTCAACACGCACCAAAAGACATCTAGAAACGGCTGAAGCCTTGCTAAGTGTTTCCATCGGGAGAACCCTTGGACTGGTAATCATGGTAACGAGGCAAAACGAACATCAGGTTCGCTAACAATTAAATTTCAGGTGATGCAGCACTGTCAGTGAACTTGAAAAATTGTCAGCCACATGACTGTCTGGGAAACCATAGACTGCGTAAAAGTATGAAATTTTCAAAGAGAAGTAAAATTTCGAATGCGCTTTTTTTACTGATTTAAAAAGTAAAAAACTGAGAGGGAGGGAAGAAATCAAAAAAGAGGCAAAACTAACTCAATTTGGTTGGATTTGGAGAGGCGAATGTGATCGGTGTAGCTCGCCCATTACTCGCCGGAGTACTGGGTGCTGTATCAAACGCCAGATTTGATTGGTCGGCTTTCATCAGGATTTTCGATAATTTTTTTCGCTGCGGATGATAAACCAAATGAGGATTTTCCTTCAGTGCCTGCAGTGAAACAATTATGTAGAGAGGTGGCTTATTTAAAAACAAAAATTCAAATTAGCGCAAGACTGGAAAATCTGAATTTAGTAACATTTCACATGTCAAAATTCAAAACCCTCTCCACGTTTGCTCTCCTGAAAACTTGTAGACATTTGGGGAATAGCCCGCGTGACAGCAAGTGACGATAACAAGGCTGTCGATGGCTCACTTTTTCAACGTTTGCTTATAAGGTAGGAGGGGATAGTTCCCCCGTTTCCTTCTCCAGCATCCCATCCTGTGTCTGCCTATTATTACGAGAGAAATTGAAAACAAGCTGAGCACTAAAAAACAAAAACAAAAAAGGGCCATGTTGATCCAGTATCCCAAAAAACAACATCGTGAGCATTTGGAATCCCGAGGACGTAAACGATATACACCTTCATGGAGAACATTTCCTAGGCCAGTCATTATTATTCATCTTTTAGTCTTCGTCCCCATATACCTAGTCTGTTTAAAATTATCATGAAGCTTTTTATCATCTCCTAAATCGTACCTGCCTTTCCCTCCTCCAAGCCATCTTTCCTTTCTGGGGGGAATTTCCGCGAAATATTGACACCCCGTCCCAGCCCGACATCAATTACACATTCACAATCAATCTATGCAAAAGACAGGGAAACACATACACACCATGAGGTTTACATGCACACTGTAGTAACACACCGGATCATTTCCAATTCAAGTTAACAGTGATGCGGA